GCTAGCTATTAAGCTATTATCGTACGCCTAGCTAAACCCTTCGTAGCTAGCTATTAAGCTATTATCGTACGCCTAGCTAAACCCTTCGTAGCTAGCTATTAAACTATTATCGTACGCCTAGCTAAACCCTTCGACTTTATAAACACCCCCGACGAGGTACGTACTCTAGTCTACCGCTACTACTTCGCCGCTAACCGCCTAGTTAACGGGGCTATCGTTGTCGGCGGCAAGCGCACTTAGAAGATAAAGCTAGCACCTAAGAGATAAAGCTAGTAAGGAAGGCCTAAATAGTAGATATAGCAGGTTAGATTACTATAAACGAATACAAAAGCTATATTTATTTATTCCTTAGTCGCTATAACCGCTGCCCTTATCTATATCTTAGTTACTGCCTATCGCATCGACTACTTCAACCTCCGCATCGATAAGCTAAGCCTATCTATTAGTACGTTAGATAGTATCGACCTACTTAGAGTCGGTCTTATTAATAGTAGTACCCTATATATTACTACGATTAGTCGTAGCCTTACGACTAGCCTTAGCAGCCTCTATATCCTCTACGACTGTATCCGTAATAGTAGAACGACCTTCGAAGTACTCCTTATTGCTTTAGTTAAATATAGCGACCTTCTCGCGGATCTAATCGCTACTAAGCTGCTAGATATCGTCCGATATATGCCTACCGTTATTACTATACGGAGCTATAAAGCTATTCGAGAATAGCTTCTCTACGCAGCTAAAGACGTTAATAGCCGTATTCTTATAGGTATAGTAACTGCTTAGCTTAATACTAGTAAAGGAGGTTATTATATTACGTAGTATACGAGCCGGCTCGCGGTTAAGTGCGATCTTCTTAAAGGTTGCTAGCAGGTTATAAGTCGAGTTACCGATACGATTAATGTCTTCTAAGTACTCGTAGTTATAGATCTCGAGCTACTTATCCGCCGCTATTATATAACCTTTCTTCCTATTAGTAATAATACTAGAAGACAGAATAGCTTCTTAGAGGACATTATTATAGCCTAGACTAAGCAGCTATCGCTTATATATTATTATCCGACTATAATTTCCCTACTTAGTATCGAGGAAACTAGGGATTAGATAGTCGACGGATCGACGGAGATAACTAATATCTGCGTTACGGACCCCGAGGCGTAGGGTAAGGAATATCTTAATCTCCTATATTATCCGAGCTATAGTAGTGTACTAGGCATTAGGTACCGGCTTACTAACGCGGTACGGTAAGCTACGCTATACCTCGACAGATAGGAGCTTCTTATAGATATCCTATACTATCTCTAGGTATTGCTAAGCGGTTAGCCTAGATAGGGCCTCCTTAACTGTATCTATACGGCTCTCCTTACTAGAGATTACAACGCGGCCCTGCTTAGATAACTACTTAATAGCCGCACCGATACTACGAGCCTAGAATATAGTCTTAAGAAGCCGAAGGATCTCGAAGAATTTTAGCTTAGTACTACTAACCTTATTCTCGCTATACTAGAATATAGTATCGCCCTTTGCTATCTAAGCGCTTAGAAGAGGCTTCCTATCGCTATTCTTATCCTAGTGCGTACGTAGGATAGTAAATACATAGTTTATTATAGTATAGAACTAGGCTAGCGATATAAGGAGGCTGTCGCGCTTGTCGTATAGGTCCTTATTCTCGACACTCTCGTTATATACGCTATACCTACGTACGACGGTTATATTGTCGCTATTCTATATATATAGAGGTCCCTCTAGCCCGCTCGCAAAGTCCTTGTTACGGTCTAGGTCCTAGAACTTAAGTAGGATCTCGTCCTATATAGCACACATGCCCTTAATAGTCGCCTCGTCGTTAAAAGAAACAGGCTACGAATACACCTCTATACGGGCCGGGTCTAACTTATCGATTACTAGCTATACTAGTCGCTTTAGATTACTACCGCTATTCTCGAAAATTGCCTTTACGGCCTCTAGAAACATATACGTAATAGCCTTATCGATATAGAAGAGCGTAGTCTTAATACTAATATCGGAAACCTCGTCTCTATCCGGTCGTATTACCTTATTTTTATAGATATTCTTAAAGATATTATTAGCGTTTAGCGGCTTGTCGTAATGGATTATCTTCTTCTTTAGGCTACCCTTCGGAATACGCTTATTAACGGCTATATACGAGGTAGTTATAGCTACTATCTAGTTAGTATCCCTAGTAGCCTAGTCGGTATAGTTCTATATCCGATTGAAATTGTCGATAGTACTACTATACTACTTATCGGGGTAGTTATATAGCTTAGCAATTTGCGTCTCTATATAATTAGCATTCTTATCTATTAAGATCTAGATAGTCTAATATACTAGAGTAATGTTTAGGTTGTTTAAGACCTCGATCGTACGACGACTCGTACTATTGCTAACGAGGAATATTCTAAGGGCCTTTAGAAAGAATAATGCCTTAATATAAGACATAGAATATAGGACTTAAGAGGTTAGCATCGTCGTACGCTTCTGTATAATATTACGCTTATCCGCGAACTTAGTCCGGTACTAGTAATAATCGCGACGTACGTTAGGTAGCAGATTCTAGCCGAGTAACTAATACTATATAGGAGCGACCTATTAGATAGCATCGTCTATATCTCTAAGGTCGATTTCGAAGGTATAGAACTCTAGTTTATATATACTAAACAAATCCTTACTAATTAGGCTCTTTAGCTTATTACGAACAATACGAGTACTAAATAGGCGATCTTCTAGAAAGGTATCGATAATAGCCTAGAGGTTCTTCTCGTATTACTTAGAGCGCTTAGTAGTCTTGCGAGTTTTAGCAGACGTAGATGCTTTGTCGCCCGGCTTACTAACTAGATACTTAACGAAGTAGGTTATACTAACCTTGTTCTTTACTATAGTATCCTTTAGCTTCTTATAATACTTGTCGAGGAGCCGCTTAAGCGCAACGTTTTTACTAGTACGGCGTGCTATTTCTAGGGCCTCTTTATCCTTATCTTTATCTTTATCGACCGTATCGTCTTTATCGCGAGTATCTAACTCCTCGTTACTACTAAGATCTTCGTCTTCTTCGCTAAGGTCTTTATTTATAGTCTCCGACTCCGACTACTTATCTTCGAAGTCGCTAACCCTAGGTATATCCGCTAGTCGTACGAATCGATAGTCTCTAGTATATCGCTTAGGAAGCCGCTTATAGAGTATATTAGTAATGCTGCTATCTGTCTAGGAAGAGGTAGACCGACTAGAGCGTACTAATAACCTAGCTAGCCTAGAAGTAGCGCATTATCTAAATCCTAGTCTATTAGATCGCCGCTATCGTCTTACTACTAAGACGGAAGGATTAGATTGCCTTTATTATCGTAATTATATACCGTTATCTTACTAGAAGGTTCGTTAGATATCTTAAAGGACTCGAGGCCTAGTAGCTATAGTAGTAGCGGTCTAGTAGCGGTAGTAGTAGCTGTAGTACTAGCTATAGTGCTAGCGGTCTGCTAGCGGTAGTGCTAGCAGTAGTAGTAGTAGTACTAGCAGCTATAGTAGCAGCTATAGTAGTAGCGGTACTAGTAGCTATAGTAGTAGCTATAGTAGTAGCAGTGCTAGCAGCGGTGCTAGCAGCTATAGTAGTAGCGGTAGTGCTAGCGGTCTACTAGCGGTAGTAGTAGCGGTAGTAGCAGCTATAGTAGTAGTACTAGTAGCGACTTTTAGGTATTTTAACCTTAGCTTTAGAGTCGCGTCTACTATATAGCAGCAACTTAATAACTATACCTCGGATAGACTTATACTATATATAAAAGGTGTTTAGAAATAGTCTACGAAGGACCTCGAAGTATCGAGTCGGCTATAGGAAGGTTATCGATTGCCCTCGAAGGCTATAGAGTAGTTAGTAGGCATCGGACGGAATTTTCGCCTATTTAAATAATAATTACTAGCGTTAGGAGAAGGACCTCTAAGTATTAGCTAGGCGATGCGGTATATTATATATTAAGGTGTTTCTAGTAGTATAGCTAGCCGCCTAGCAATCCGGATAGCTATAGTCGAGTCGGCTTAGTAGAATAGCGAAAACTTAACGTACTAACGTCGTATAGACTTGTTTAATAGATAGAATAAAGCGCAATTAGTAGGGCTATAACCTCCGCTATTTAGAATGTCTTGTATACGTTGTAGTATTATATTAGTGTTTGGCAGGCTAGTTTCGTACGGGTTTATATCAGGCTCGTAGGCGAAGAATTGGGTAGAGTGCTCGTGATTGGTTGTCGGTAAGTTCGGAAGCTAGCCCTAATTACTAATCTATTACGTGCACTCGGTCGCAATATGATCCCCATTCACTACACATCTACGCAACTCAATTCTTCATGCCTACGAGCCTGAATGGAGGTAGATCCGAAGACCATTCATCGCGCAGACGCTGCTTGTATCGAGCTCACCACATCACCGAACCACATCGGCGCAGCGGACATCATATCTTTGATTGTGCTCGCCTGCGTCATTCGATCCGAGGTATGGACCAGAGGAGGATGAAATTTTGAAGAACAGCGACGCGGTCCCCGAAAACTCGCTCAAAGCCGAGTACAGTCTCCCCATGACTTTGCAAGATGCATTGCGTTGGGCTGCGACCAGCAAAGACTAGTTATGATGGCATCCACGTCTCTCCTCTCGTGGCGAGCTTGTTCAACCATGTGGCAGCTTTAGCTGTGCAGTGTGCAACAGTTGCAGAGCACTACAGTATCGGACGCAACTACAAATGAAGCAGCACAAAGTATGTCGAAGCAGATTCTTTGCAAAAACGATAGTCGTTTCACCATCGACATCAGCTTTGTCAGACCTGTTTGTTATGCTTCCCGCCATCCTTGCCGTTCCATGGCATTGCTCGGAGAGTGACTCGTCGAAAGCACTCTTGGCCGTTCTCAGACATGGTACGATATGCAATGCATAGAGGGCTCCTGCTTCATCAAGACCTAAACGCAAAGTACCCGTTTTGAAGCACCAGTACGCATGGTGCACAGGATGTGGCCACTTTTTGCATGCGAGTACACTACTATTAGGTAGCGCTCAATCTATCTACACGAAACTTAAAAGAGTTCTTGAGTGCAGACATCAATCCCGTCTCTGGGCATGTGCGAAACAATCATGCGCCGCCGCCGCCGCCCGCTCGAAAACTCCACGCGTGCACCAACTTTCGCTTCTTCAAAGTCCACTCTTCGCCTTGGCGGCTCCAGGATATATACTCTGAAGATGCTGGGTCAGCGGGACTCCACCCTTGGTCAACGCGGCGATTTGCGGGCAGCCGATGCTCTCGACTGTCGTTGCGATTAAGTCGAAGAAGGTCTTGAACAGGTTGTTGGTGAAGGAGGGGGAGCCGGTCTTGATGAGTTCGAGGGCGAAGCAGATGAGATTGTTTCCTTCGAGGAGGTGCGCCAAGTTCATGATTCCTCCGCCTAGATCGTCCAATCTGATGCCTGTTGACAAAATTAGTTAGTGGTAGGTAGACGAGAGGAGGTTCGTCGAAGAGAAGGACATACCGGCAAACGTGTTGACTCTACCCATGTTACCGCCAATGCTGGCGAGCTCGGGGAACCAACCAATCCACTGGATCAGATCGAAGTTGAACTCCAGCAAGCCGTACGCTCCCGGCCGCCTGGTCCAACGCTCAGGAATCCTCTCCCAGCCGATGTTGTAGGTGAACGGGCGAGGATAGTCACAGATTCCGAAAAAGGATTTGAGGATATCGTGGGTCAGGACACCTGTGATCAATCATCAGCCATCTCCTCGCAGCAGATTTTTGATCTTCCAAGACCCTCGTTCCTCCTCACCTTCTGGATGAGCTGGATCCGTATAATTCGCAAAAAGGCGTGCCGCGAAGATCTTTGCAGCGTTGGCTACCACCATTCCCGAGACGGGTCCGAAGTAGAAGTTCGGGCTGGTGGCGATGCATTCGTGAAAACGTCGAGCGGCAATTGCTCCCATGTCATGGAAGGTGAAAGGACGACCTTCGGGAACGCTGTTGTAGAGGCGGTGGAAAAGGTTGATGTCGAGAGTCCAGGCGTCTCCGGTGTCGAAGAGATCATTGCGGGTCAGGGAGCAGTCTGCTTCGACGAGGTTGTGGGCGAAGTCTAGACCTTGCGGCTCGCCCAGGAGGCCCAAGAGCCCTCCGAGCGGAGGTCCCACTTTGGTATCAGGTCCACCGATGGACCAAGTCAGCGTGATGGGATCTCCTGCAGAGAGGACAGCCATCAGAGCGTTGGCAAGCGCTATATCTATTCCTACACCATAGAGCTGATTGATGGTATGGACGACTTCGAACAAGCCCACGACGCCATTGTGGGCGATGTAGTTGTGGTTGGCTGCGGCGTTGAGTCCAGGGCAAGGCCCTCTCTGATCACCTTTGCAAATGTCAGCACATTTCACGCAGTTCCGCTCCGCCAGGAAACAAACGCTCACCAGAACTCGGTGGCACGAACGCGTGCGCTCCCGTTACCTCTATGAAACCCCCTCCGTACGTGAAACTCCCACCACCTAGGAGGGGCAATGAGCCGGTGAGACCAGACAAAGCGCTGAGGGGATCTGTATGTATAACAAATTTCAGCAACAGCATATCACCACCACGGACTCTACTCTTCCTACCTCCACCTCCACCTCCACCCGCAGCTCCAGACACAGCACCAAGCAATCCCGCAAGCTGTCTCTTGAAGAGTTCCTGTTGTTCCGGATTCGGGATCCTCTCCTCGAAATGTCGTATGAACTCTCTGCGGTGGTGTTCATGATGCTGGTCGGCAAGATACGCAAATCCGATGACATGTCCAAACAGCAATGCGAGCGAAACGAGCGACAAGGAAACGAATGACGGAAAACGAGCGTGAGTATGCATGTTAGGACGAAATCATCAACGAAGCCGGCTGGTGGTAAGCAGCATTAGCATTGCCGGTGTGGTAGCAAGCAAGCAGGCAAGTGAAGATGAACGTCAGTCAGTCAGGTTAGGAGCACGCACTGCGCACTGCGGCTAAACCACACGACGTCGCTGCTGAGCAGCAAAATTGCAGGCGGCGCGGATCCCAGCGGTATGAAAGGGGACAAGGGGACCCAGTGACCTGTGGCTGTGATGATGTGATCAATTGCTTTAGGCTTTGCCTCCGAAATGCCCGGGCGAGCGTGTCACGAGCCTCAAGCCGGGGTGCCGTCTAATTCTCCCATCTCTCGCCCTCAAACCGAGATGAAGGACAGCTATTGGTTGAAATCACTCGTGATCCGTGGTCCAGTCCCGAAAAAGATATGATTTGTTGGTTGATATTATTATTATGATTATGAAAGGGTCGAGCCGTGCGACGGGCGTGCAGGTCCCAGGAAACGTTTCGGGAATACAATTCGAACACACTCCGAGGTTGAGATTGTCCAAGATGGCCCGTTCGTCGCGTTATACATTGCTCTTAAACGAGCCAGACAGTGCTGTCCAGTCTCTCCACTATTTGCATGACTCGGATCTGGCCCGACTTGGTGGTCGGCGAGTTTGGAAAATGTTGGCATGATATGACTGAGCACCGTCTGAACGGGACTCGGGTCAATCGACATGGTTCGTTGGCTTGGCAGCAAAGGTGCCTAAGAGAACCATTGTTCGAATTTCAACGAACACTGAGCGTATGTATGTATGAGCAGTGAATAGATGCGTGCGAGCCTAAAAAAAGGATGAGTAACCGGAGGATTCTGGATGATCTTCCAGGACCAGCCAAGCATGCCGAGCCGCGTGTCTCAGTGGACTGCATTATGCATAGGACCCAGTGCATTGCAGGCTCCGTGCAGGAGGACCGAGTGGTAGCCCTGCAGATGCTGCATTGATGTCGAAAGCGAAAGAGCATTATTCTCGGCCAGCGCAGCGGTTCGACAACGCAACACGGCTCTCGGATGCGCCATGTTCGCTCCAGCTGGCGGGTAAGTTACATGGCGCATTCGGAATGCGGTTGACTTGAAAGTGCTCATTTGAACAACAGGCTGGATGCATCGCAGTCATCGTAACGTGACCGGGCCAGGCCAGCTGGCAGCGGCCCTCGACGATGCAGAAAGTGTAACAGGTGAGGAAAACGGGAGGTGAGGTTCGAACAAGGTTTTGAGTGGACCAACACGGCTGACATGGACAGGGGCTCGCCAGACCGAGTTGCAGTGTGGATCCACTCCACAACCCTCCGCACGTTTCTCCTCCTCCGCATTAACTTTGCAAGCACGCGAGCCCAAACAGCCAGAAGGTTTTCGTCTCGCGGGTGCACATCCCAGAGGACCAGCATTGCGGCTAGCCCTTCTTAGCCACAGTGGCATTGACTTCGGGGTCTGCAACGGTCCATGTCACTTCAACAGCAGCTTTTCCATACGGAGTACACCTCTGCGCCGGCAAATCTCTGGCCGACGACAACATGCGGTATGGATGGCTTCCCAATGGGGGGGCTCTCTCGTGGCGCGATGGGAGGGCACCTGAACCTTCTTGCTTGGGAAGGACCCTTGAGGCAGCACCAGAATGCTGGAGCAGTGAGCAACTCTCGTTCAGTAGTGCCGAAGATATGTTGGATCACCTCTTCGTCCCAAGCTAACACTCACCGACCTTGATCTTTCGATCTTTCGATCTTCCCTTTTGCTTCTCCAGAGGCCGTGCTCCTCCACTCCTTACCATGCGGCCCATCTGGACTCTCATCTCGCTGTGTGTTGCCACCACAGTCGCGGCACGGCATGGACTTCGACATCATGCCGTGGACTTGATGCCACGACAGAGCAGCGATGCGGCAGCGGCAGCGGCAGAGAAGGAGAAGGAGGCGAAGGAGTCCATGAAGCTGCTCGCGTCCATCCCGCCGTGTGGTGTAAGTGCATCGACAGACTCCGAAACGGTACGAAAGACTGAGCGACCGCACAGCTCGGCTGTCTGAAGACGGCCATTGCAGCTTCACCGTGCTCGCCGCTGGATCACGCCTGTAGCTGTTCCAACAAGACAATTGCATCGCAGGTGCAAATCTGCGTTCTTGCATCTTGCACAATCCCCGAAGCGCTGAGTATGTGTCGAAACACTTGCGCAACATCATGAAAAAAAACCCCGTTCTAAGACCGCTTCCAGCGACCAAGAATATTACGTCCAGAATATGCCACCGACCGTTCCGAGACCGACGCAGCACCGTTTCCGGAACTGCCATTGGCGGTCTGGTGGTCGCGCTCATCGGATATACCGTTCGTGTCATGTCGAAGCTGCATATGCGATGGGGCTCCGCGGTGTTCTTCTCGGACTTGTGGTGGGACGACTTTGTGATCACACTGGCGATTGCAGTCGATCTGCCATTCATGCTGTTGAGTGTCAAGCGTAAGCTGTGAAGAGCGTCCTCCAGACTGTCTACACGCTGACTTTGCCATTAGTGGCTGACTACGGATTGTGCGTTGCTATGACATCCCCTCGAGCTGATTGCTAATGGAAACCCAGCGGTCAAGACATCTGGACAATCACGCCGCAGAACAACTTGACGAAAATCTTAAAGGTAATGTTTCCTGGCACCACCAAATAGCCAGACTTGAAAACCTGACGCATCGCAGACTCTTTATTTTAACGAGCTCTTCTACATATCCGGTCTGGCCTTCGTCAAAATCGCCATCTTGCTGACATACCTGCGCTTCTTCTCCGATATCAAATTCCGAAAGATCGTATTCATGGTCATCGGGCTGAATTTGCTCGCTCTCATTGCATTCGTGTTCGCGCTCCTGTTTCAATGCACACCAGTCGAATACTCTTGGTAAGAAAATCTAGCGGTCGGCGACCACCCTCATGCATGCTGACGTGGAGATATCTAGGTTCCGATGGGATGGCAAGCATAAAGGTACTTGCATGGAGTTCGACCACATCGCGTGGCCTGCGTAAGTGCATTTTCCTCTCTGCGTAAACCACAGATTACTGACGGAACGGTACGGCGGTCTACAGTGCTGCGATTAACATCCTGCTTGATCTCCTCGTTATTGGGCTACCTTTCCCGCAACTCTGGAAGATGAAAATGAACAAACGGAAGAAGCTCCAGGTCATGATCATGTTCGGCACAGGCTTGGTCATTACCATTCTCAGTATCTTGCGTCTTCAGTCCCTGGTTGCGTACACCGATCACAACAATTTCACCTGGGTCTACGTAACCACCGGTGCTTGGGTAGGTTCTGAGAGAAGTCATGGAAATTTCCGCTTTCAAGCTTTCTTTCTAATAAGCCACAGTCCAAACTCGAGCTGAATGCTTCCATCCTCTGCGCATGTATGCCGGCAATTCGAAACTACATTGTGAGTAGCACCTCGTCCAGACAATCCGAGAAAAGCTAACATCGATCCAGCGTCGCTTCTCTCCAGCCACCACAGGCGACACCGTCAAAGGAGGCGACTCTACCGCAAAATCCGGTCTCTCAGGCCGTGAGTCTCCATGGCTCGCCAGTCTTGACCGGCGCGTCCACCAGCGCACTTTGAATGATGATCCTGATGCTTTCGATCTAGGCACTCTCACCGTCAGCGACTTCGGCAAGAGCGTCGATACGGAGGTACGTAAAATTGCTCCACATTCACATCTAGAATTTTGTTCCCCCTAACACTGAGACAAAATGAACAGAACTTCGTCGAACTCAAGGAACAAGGCAAAGACGCAAAGCGTCATCCTCACGGCTCGCACGGCACACGCGGAACTGTCAGCACGACCGAGACCCAACAAAGCGACTACTAGTGCGAGCGATCGATTAATCATAGTGAGATGGTATCTTCCTGTGCATTGTTTGATTGAAACCCCTGGATTGAAGTTGGTATCCTTTGCAATTGGAGTGGGGGGACAGTGTCTCTGGAAGTTCTCAGCCGAAAAACAAAATGCGCATTGGGCGAAGTCCATACAGGTACCTATTGAAAGCGATAGAACTAATAATGTCGTCGCTTGCGGCCTAGATTTATTCATTCGTACTACTATGAATGCGACTTTTCGACTTGTTATACACTAAAGTCTCCTCTCCTCCCATGTGCAGATCTGCAACGCCGTATTCGACGTCCTAAGAATATCCTCTCCTATTCACTTCCCCAGCTCAACGTGTTTCATCCATCCAGACAAGCTTCCTTATTATTCTCGGTCGCCGTTCGCGCGCCTGTCAAAAGCAAGCAGGCAATGCCAGACCATGTCAGCTCGTGGCTTGTGCACTCGACCCACCCAATTCCCTCAAGCTTTCAACCCATCTCATCCCTGCCCGTGGAACATTTGGAACCCTTGTCCAGGCACCGCGCACTGTGCCACAGCGCCAAGCTATCATGATTACTTCTGTTTCCAGCGGTGATGCTAGAATAGCAAAAAAAAAAGCAATTCCTATCTTCATCATATCCCATTGAAAAAATTGCAACAAATGCCCAACTTTTAACGTCCAATGCAGCCGTGCCGTGACCCGTGGTTGGTTCCTTTCACTCTATACCAACAACAACCATAAACTGAAGTGCTTGTAGGGCATCGGTATAACCTACCTTACCTCGTCAGCCACCGTGCTGGTAATCTAGAGCACCCAGCTAGGGCCACGGGTTCCTGCGGCGGACTTTATGCAAGGTCTATGTATACTAACCAAGAATGCGAGGGTGGTAAACCGCCACGGCGGCTAGGTTTGCAGCGGCGGCTTGTCCACTTCCATGGTTGTTTATAGGCTATATATAGACCGCTAAGAGGTCTAATTTCGAGCCAATTTGAAGCCTTGTAATCGCATAGTATAGGCCTACAAATGAGGAGTCACTTTGAAGCCAAACTAGACCTTATCTAGCGGCTATTTCTACCTCTTATTTATCGACCTATTCTACCTCTTCCTCGCGGTTACGTGTCGCCCTTGTTTTGACCTCACTATCGCTAGTATAGGTGATTATTCTAGGCATTTAGCGCCTAAAGATGTGAACGCGTTGCTTAGTAAGCTAGAGTGTGAACAGTCGGTACGTAGTCGGTCGTTCTCGTAATCTCGTAGATAATCGCTAAGGTGTTACTATCGCAGTTTTAGAGCCCTTTTCTACTAAATATATATTAGTAAAGGCACCAATTCTTCTACCCTCGTAACCGCGAATACCGTTTAGAAGTAGACGATATTCGCCTCGCTTTAGGTCGTGTTATACGTAATTAGCAAGGCGTACGAATAAGCGGCTTCGAATACGACGAATATCGATCGTTTGCTACTAATATTTAGTTCCTTAAGAATCGACCGGATAGGCTATCTATAGACCTAGTAAAGCGGCTATTTCGTAGGGTGAAATTCGAGTGTCGCCTTTATAAGCGGTTTATAGACTATTAGCGAGCGGAAAGCGGCGGTAGTAGTGCTTAGAAGGCGTCGAGGTGTCTACGGCGGAAGCATATTACGTAGAAGGCGCACGACTGCCCTACGAAATTAACTATCCTCGAGTTCTACGAGAAGGATTAAAATAGCGATTTAGGGGTATTTCTCGACAATATAGCGCTAGCGCACTTACCTACGGATATAACGGTGCTAAGGCCCTCGCATATTATCCTCCTACCGCTAAAGGATAGCTATTCGTATACTCTCGAGTTTGTTAATAGAATATAGGTTAATAACGGTATAAAGGCTGTTTAGAAGGAAATACTCGAATTTCGAGTAGGTAAGTGCGGTCTTAGCGGCTTACATACTAGTATTAACCTGTTTCTAGGCTCTTCGACCGTTTCTAAGCTAGTCAATAAAATAAGAAGGCCTAAGCAAGCGACAGTATAGCGAGACGTAGGTGCAATAAGAATTATACGTAATCGAGTCCGCAATGCTAGCAAGGCCGCTATTACTCGAATAAGCGATAAACGTAGGTCTAGCGCTAGCGAGTCTATCTATCGATAGTTACAATAGGCTTAGGCCTACTTGAATGCTAAATTTAGCCTATATAGCGACAATCTAACTAGTTAGGCGGAGGCAATCTATTTAGTAGGCGACAAGAAGGGCACGTATTAATCAGGCCTTGTTTGGGCCTCTAACTAGCAACTATAGCTTCTTCGCAACTATAGTAGCTTGTTCTTGCTAGATTCTATATTTAGTACAAACAAACCTCTTTAGCTACTGTTTACGGTATACGTCCGCAATTAGCATCTCGAGTAGCTTCCGGCTAGTTATATGCTTCTATCTTGTAAGTAGGCGCACCTTATTAAGAAGGCTATAAGAACGCTCCGTTCTATAGCTAAAACTGACTTCTAAGTCAAATTGAGCTCTTATAATAGCAATAGCTTAACCTACTACTTTAGACAGCCTATATACGCAAGCAAGGCTTCCGATAACCTCTATAAGGAACAGTCTAACTAGATACCGCTTTAGTCTATTATAGACGACTTAGCGAGTAAGCAACGTGCTATCTAGCAGGCGCTAACCGATTACTATATTGAACAGCGGCTTTGCTAGCGGCACGTTGTAAAGACCTTCGAACGGCGGTTTAAGAAGCATCTATAGGCGCTTAAGGCTATGTCTAATACTATATTTATCGCGAGAGACTAGGACGAGTGTGCTCACTTTATTAGGCGAGCGGCTATTAAACTAGAGGCTTAGAAGGTAAAGAAGAAGCTAGAATACCTCCGTAACAACTAGCCGGCTTTATAGAGCGATCGATAGGCGACTTAGGTACGGCTCGGAGACCCCCTTTTAATAGCGATTCGAATAACGTTACTACTTAAGGGCTATTACGCACACTTAAAGCGCCGAGACAAGCGTTAGATGCGCTAATAGAGCTTGCGAGGTGCGTATTCGTCCTATTCTTATAGTGCTATCGAAATCTTATATAAAAGAAGTCTACGCCTATATTCTTTAGAACGGCTATAGCCCCTAGACCGGCTTTCGGGTACTCCCGCTAAGCTATCTAGATTTCTCGACTATGTTTATTCTATATTGTTTCTACTAACAACAAGGCCTATACTAACTGTTATTAGGCTTAGTGATGCACCTTATACAACTAGACAATTACATCTGCGAGCGCGCGCTTCAAAACGGCTAGATCGACGGTTAGGGCTAGCTTCTACTATAGAAAAACGAATCCTGTTTATCCTTTAAGAATCTACCGCTTTCTATATAGAAGAAGATAGCAGATAAGCTTATACAGGCATACAAGGACCGTGACAATGGCAAGCCTATCTAGCGGATGTATCTACCTGCTATAGACGACGATGCTTGTACTAAATGCTTCTACTATTTCTAGCATAGCTACTACCTTCCTTGCAAGTATATTTAGCGCTTCTATATCGACAAAACGAGCCTTCTTACTGCTTAGCGCTGTAGGCTCTATATTAGTCGGTTTTAAGGACCTAATAGCAACCTCGTTTATCTAGACTAGTATAATAGCAAGCTAATTCTTAACGATAACAACAACTATCGACCTACTAGATAGCTTGTCGACCTAAACAAAGCCCCTAGTATCTATAGGCTCCGTGCAGTAAAGGAATACTTCTATTCTATACAAGAAGGTCTTATATAGACCTTCTTCCGCTTCTATAATAGCTAGACTTCTAAGCCTTACTTAAACGACGAGTAGCAATACGAAGCCTTACTATAGTAGGTAACACACTACTTAGAAATAGCTTAATTAGTAATAGATATTCAGATGTAATAATAGCTTAATAGAGGCGCTCCGTAGGCCTATTTAATACCTCGTCGTAAGGCTAAGTAGCGCTTAGTCGACGATAGGCCGCTATAACAACCTGTCTTTAAACTACTGCTAGCACTACTAAGTCTAGCACTACTAAGTCTAGTACTACTAAGTCTAGTACTACTGAGTCTAGCACTACTAAGTCTAGCACTACTAAGTCTAGTACCTTTAGCACCTTTAGCACCTTTAGCACCTTCCGTCGAGGCTCCGTAGCGGCTATTTATCGTCGTTAATAGCAGTATACTGCCTGTCTATAGTCTAGTTAATAAAGACAATATTATCGACAACGTTAACTTCGCTCTAGTCGTTATTACAGTTAATAATAACGCTGATGTAAACCTCTCAGACCTTACTGATAACGACGCTCTATACGAGGCTAACGACAAGGACCTATTCGATAGCCTATCGGATATAGACCTTCTACAATCTATACTACTTAAAGCTAGTCGACTTAAGAGCAGTCGATTGCCGCTATCTTTGCTAAAAGACGCTAGCAAAAGTGATTAACACGATAACGACGAGGTATTAAGGCATTAATCCTTACTAGACGATTTGCTATTACTAAGTAAGCTGTTTCTACTACGCTAACCTCTACCTTCTATAGAGCTACTACCTTCTTCGGCACTATCTATAGCTTAGCATTTATTACCTGTATAGTTACCTAGTAAAGACACTTCAATTGATTTACTATAGCTATTAGGTAGCCCTTATAAACCTCGTCGTTAGAAGCCTTCAATTAGTAAGCCTATAACACCTTCGAAACGCGCTCGTAGAAGTGGACTACTAAAACGACGGATCTAAGGAGAGGTTGTCGCTTCTAAGCGGTGGAAGTAGTAGTGCTAAGGTGCAGGCGTAGACTTAGTCGTTTTCGAGCGATTACGGCTGTTCGGAACGGTAGAAATCCGAGGTAATTGGGTTGCACAAGGGGTGTTTGCAGTACCCCGATTTGTACACTAATTTGCGTGGTTTCAGGGCACTTTGCAGGGGCTTATGGAACCCTCGAGGTGTGCTGAAGCTACTTTGAATTTAACTTCTTGGTCAGTATACGTGGACCTCTTTATGCATCTCCAGGCAGGCCTGGCAGGGTGTTGGTGTATCAGTGCTCAATTGATCCCTCATCATGTCGCAGTGGATGCTGCAATGCGAAGGCAATTTCGGGGCGTCAAGTCTCCCCGCCCCGATGGATGTCTATGCTATGATGAGGTACAGCTACAGCATGCAGGATAGCGCCAACAACCTCGTAGCTGATCCCGAGGTCCTTTCACAAAGCCCCCTGGTCGTTGTGAAACACTTCACTTTTCAATTCATTTCCCTCTCTTGTGTTGGACAGACCGATTTGTTGTTGCTAACTTGCCGCAACTCCACCACACTCGTTCATGCCCACCCGCAGTCATTCGTTTCTCAAGTCACTCGTTTCATAATAATCGGAGCATAATAGAGATCGTGGTTGTTGTGCTTTGCGGCCGGCGTTGAGACAATGTTGCTGCGGCAGCTGTTCCACTTCGCGCTCTTGGCAACAGGTTGGGCATCTGATGCACATCTGCACCACCAACACCATAATGAGCGGCGCCATCATGAGGAGCACAAGAGGGACGAAAGCATAGCGGAAGCGGCGAGGCAAGAAAATGTGAAGCGCGACAAACAAATCCCAGCGTGGTACGGTACCAAGTCCGGCTATCCCGCTGGGTGGTACGACTACATTGTCGTTGGATCAGGGCCCGGCGGTGGACCTGTCGCCTGTCGTCTGGCTCGAGCAGGTTTCAACGTGTTGCTGATCGACGCCGGAGACGATTCGTCTGCCAACAGCTTCGCTACTACGACTCCTGTCTTTCAACTTCAAGCTACCGAGGAGCCTGAGCAGGAATGGGTAAGCAAATTCTGGAGAACATGCCTTGAGACTCACCTTCTGACCATCGCTCGTTCTGTAGGACTATTACGTGATGCACTATGCGGATCAGAGGCAGCAGGCGCGGGACTCCAAGACATCTTATGCTTGTCCGGACAAAATCTACACTGGTCTCGCTCCATACGCCGGATGCAGGATGCTTGGCGTTCTGTAAGTGAACGGCGGTCCACCAAATCCGGCTTGTTACTGACTCTCGAAGCTATCCTCGTGCGGGTGCTCTCGGTGGATGTTCTCAGCATCATTCCATGATCCACGTCTATCCTTGGGAATCCGACTGGGAGCATATGGAGAAAATTACTGGCAACTGGACTTGGGGTCCCAACCCTATGCGCTCCTACTTTGTCCGGTTGGAACGTAACGAGTATATCCCGAGCAGTGTGGTAAGTCTCCCAGTTCGATGGGCGCACTTCCAAAATCATGGATCAACTGACGCGGGTTCAGGCCGGCCATGGCTACAAAGGTTGGCTGCACCTGAGTCTGACTGCTCTCACACTAGTTCTGGAAGACTTCAAAGTCGCTCAGCTGATCGTGGCTGCTGCAACAGCGATGGGAAAGGTATGTTGTCGACGCTTACCACAACACGTGGAGTCCGGTAGAGGCTGACTTGTATTCCGCCAGAACATTGTTGAGGGTAAGCTCGTATGAGACAACCGATTGTTTGTCGAATGATGCGCTGACAAATATGCTTCAGGTCTGCTCGATACCGTTACCGGCCTGACCCACATCTTGATCACTGACTTGAACGCACCGGGTCGCACCCGAGACGAGGAAGAGAACATCTTCCAAGTGCCCATCTCGGTCAACCCTGCAACATCTAAGCGAGCTGGTATGAATTCCTTTGGTCCTCACAAGGCTACCCAATACTAATCAACGATTGCTTCCGCAGGCGTGCGAGACTTTATCGTTGACACCGTTCAGCACTATCCAAATCTCCACGTCCAGCTCAATACCTTTGTGACCAAGGTATTGATCGATCACAAGGGCGTTGGCGGTCGACCAAGAGCCTACGGTGTTCAGTATGAAGTGGGAAAAGCCATCTACCAAGCTGATCCAAGATGGACTGGTGCTCGTGGACAGCCAGGTTACGCTTATGCCGTGCGAGAGACGATCATCTCAGGCGGCACGTTCGAGACTCCGAAGCTCCTCAAGCTCAGCGGCATCGGTCCAGCGGCAGAACTGCAACATTTCGGAATTCCAGTCATCGTCGACAATCCATACGTGGGAACCAATATGCAGGATCGATACGAGTATTCGGTCGTTGGTGAGGCTTCGACGTCTTTCGAACTCACGAAGGACTGCACCTTCGGTTACTCCGAGCCAGATCCGTGCAAGGAGAGATATCTCGCCGGCACCAACGCTGTAGGTATTCGAGAGTCTGTGTTTCGCTCCAGATCGCTGACCTTTCACAGGCCTCCCGTGGTGTATATGCAACCAACGGTCTTGTGAGTACTACCATATACCCTTCGAAGTGCCAATGCTAACCAACCAATTCAAGGCTTTTGCAGTAACCTTCAAGTCTTCTGTCGCGGAAACTAACGTCCCCGATGTGTACATCAGTGGCGCCCCAGCTTACTTCCAAGGATATTACAAAGGTTTGTAGTGATCAAAGTCCAATATCCAAGGGAAGTGTGCTGATGCCGAGATCTCTGTAGGCTATGCACGAGAGACATTCCAAGATGCTACACATTGGCTGTACTTGATCTTGAAAGCGCAGTCGCGGAACAATGCTGGAACGGTGACTCTCCGATCGACCAATCCCCTCGAGAGACCTCAGATCACCTTCAACTCTTTGGCAATTGGAGGTGACAAGGATGTGCAAGCTATCGTTGAAGCTGTAGCGTTTGGTATGAAACTTGACGATTCTCCCCCGGTGACAAATTGGGCTGACTTTACGATTCTTCCTGTAGCTCGACGCGCCTATCATTCGGCACTTCCTCTCTCGTTGGATACTGTCGTTGAAGTCGACCCAGGCGAGGCGGGATACCCAGATGGCTCTGCGGCACTGGCCCAAAACATCAGAGACCGCACTTGGGGACACCATGCGTCCTGTTCATGCGCCATTGGCCTTGTACTCGACGGCGACTTCCGCGTCATGGGCGTTGATGGTCTTCGCGTTGTCGATGCTTCAGCCTACAACAGGATCCCTGGTTTCTTCCTCTGCCTCACGACATACATTATCAGCGAAAAGGCGGCCGACGCAATTCTCGGACAAGGACCCGACCCATATTTCACTGTCCCAGACGCGGGAGGCATGTTCGGTACGCTGGGTCAAGGCTTGACCGCAGGTCTTCTCACCGCTGTCACAGGTGGAGCCCCAGGCTTTGGCACGGATGCAAATATGAATGGCCTGTTGGGTGACGCCGGCAGTGCTCTGGGTCTTAATCTCATCCAAAACACCAACACCATTCCAGGAGACAAGGCCAAGAGGACGGAGACCACCTTTACGGCGGAAGAGCTCTAGAGCCGCAATTGTCCGGGATACGCATAACTGTCATTGCTATTGCATCGCCCATCAGGATCGCGCTGCGCGAGCTGATGAGTCTCACAAAGTCGAAGCTCCGGGTTCAGTTCCAGTGCTGGCCGGGTAGGAGTGACGGACATGTTGCTCGCCTTGTAGTGTTGAGAGAAGGTGTGGCCGGCGCGTATGACTTGTAGCTCCGTGCTTGTGCATAGAGTCTACTTCGCATAGCATTGTATGGTATATTGTTTTAATGCAGCACAACAATCATGCGGCCGCTGCGAGTGTTCCATGCTCTTTTCGTCGAATGATGATACAATAGGTCTGGGAGAGTGCCCGATGAAAAGATGGCATAGATTCGTTGGTTCGTTCGTGCCTCCGTTCCTCCATTCAATCGATGTTTCTTTTCTTCACTCGCGTCGTTCGGTTCGTGTGAGGTCTGCTCGGAGTGGTGTCCATCTCATCGCGAGCAGAGGTGGGTCTTATAGCGAGCAAAGGTGGGAGATTGAGGTCAATGAGAGGAGAAGGGAATGGCCGGGGTAGATGGTTATGTGAAGATCGCTCATTCCACTTCTGCTGAATTGTGACGCATAGCTGAGGTCACATGACTCTTGGCAGCGCACGTGACTCTCGGCAAAACCAGGGAAATATCAACACCTGTTCTTACCGCCTTTTTAGATAGAACTAGCTAATCAGAACCACTACAATAGACACCCTTAAAAACAGTGTTACAATGTAACTAATAGGAAGGGTGCGTAATAGTTATAAGCCCGGGTTTTACCCGCGGTATTAGAGACTAAGAAAGGAGGAAGAATTTTCTATTTTACGAGTAACAATATTAGCAAAAGGAAATTAGTTTCTACGATACTAAACAACTAACTAAAGCACCTACTATCTCTTTAAGATTATTAATATATCTTTAATAATAGCCCTCTTATTAGCTAGCTGTCTTAGTAGTACTAAATATATTACTCTTCGAGGCCCGAACGACTAGGATCGATAGTACGAGCAAACTAAGACTTATCTAACAGATTACGAGACCTAGCTATATACTAATCCGTATACTACGCTACCTATAGAGCCAATTTAGCCTACTCTACTAGTTATAGATAAAGAACGCCTATAGGACGACTAAGTCTACTAATAGGCAATCCGTCTAGAAAAGGATTTCTATAATATCTATATAGCTAAGTTTAATAGGTTTAGAACGGCCCGTAGTAAGACCCTCGAGTACCTAGCAACTATAATAGATATCCGCTATTACTTAGAGATTACTAATAATAATAAGCTGTCCCTACTAACCCTTCGATTAATTATAATACGACTAAAAGATAAGCTAGCGCTAAATACTTAGTAGCAAAGAACTAACTTAGTTAAAGAGCTAAATCGTTTAATTAACTTAAGGTAGGTAAAGGATCCTAAGTAGTAGTATAAGGAATAGCTTAATCTATACAAAATTATAAAGAGGATATAGTATATAGAACTTAATAATATAGTTATTCACCTCTATACTATAGTAGCTAATATAGATGAAACCTATAGCAAAGGACTCTATATAATGCACTAGGCCTTACTAAACACTACCTACTTCTATTAACTAATTAGTATAGTACGAGACTATACCCGAAATATATTAGGACTATCGATAAAGCGAGGAGCCTTATTTAGAATCACCTACGACATAGAGACTAGTAAATCCAATGCCGCCCTTTAAGGAGCCTCCGAAAACAAGGACAAAGATAAGGACAAGAAGGACAAGAAGGGCACCCGCACTCTAAAATCTTGTATAGAACTTACTAGCGTTAGTAAGAAGAAGGCATATAAGAACCGTAGTAAGTGCTTAGTAGTTAACTACCGCCTTCGAGAGAAGGTTAAGGAGAAGAATAAGGATAGCAAATAGTAAGGAAAACTAAACTACTTTAAAGGCTACTTACGCCGAAACAAGGACTTCTATTTAAGACAAGCTAGCTTCTATAAGGACCTACTAGCTATCAAGATTGCTTAGCAGCATTATAGATATAGCAAGGCTAATAATAATACGCCTAACAAGTTGTTACTAGCCTGCTTCTTTAGCCCTAATACTCTATTATTATCCTTTACAAGAACAACTAGATATAGACAGGTTAGTATAGGAATATCTATTAGAAAATGGAACCCTTTTAATAGACTAATATATAATAGTAGATCCAATTGCTATATTATTAACTATCTAGGTCGATTTAACTTTGCTCCTCTCTTCCTACTATTAAGGTCTATAGTAGTAACCGGAATAGGCTATAATAGGGTCGTAGCTATTAGAAAGGCATTATTTACGGTCAAGGCTGTTAGTAGCAGGCCCCTATAGATTAAACTAGGAGAATGCCTATACATTCTAAACTTCTATACTAATATAGTCGGTAGAGCCCTATTCTTCTAGCGAGGATACAAACATTAGGAAATTGATAACACCCTATACGACCCTTAGTAGAAGCCTCTAGTTAAGTTTATTAGACTAGATAATTAGATGCTATACTTTGATATAGTTAGTATAGTAGATAATACACCTTTACTAACCGAGTAGCTAGCCGATACGGAAGGTCGACTACTTAAATACCTATTCTAACTCCTATTAGTATACGTAATAGCTCGCCGCTCCGCACGTCTACTACTATCGAGGCAGCTCACTCTTTAGTAGATATATAAGATCTTTAGGCACCTAGGTGTAGAGCGAGTAGAAGAGCTAGTTAACAGGGTTAATAGAATAATACGGGACCTCTTATATAGAAATAAGGTACTAAGAACACTACTTTATCTAGTATATATACAAGCTAAGGGCAAGAAGCTTATATCTAGAAGGCTACGAAAGCATAATATGTTAATTCTTACACTATATAGCTACATTGCTACTAATCTAATGCAACTAGATCTAGCCTACAATAGCGACTAGTATATCTTCTACGCATACGACCTAAATACTAGACTTCACTTTACATAGACAATAAGTAATCGTTAGGAATTAACACTCCTTTAGTGCTAGAACTAGTTAGCAACCTTCGTACGTAGCATTAGCAGAGATATTATCTGTTTGTCATCTAATAATAAAGGAGGCATATTAGGCTTTCGGTTTCGATCCTATCTACGTAATAACTATACTACTTAGAGGCTAATAGCACTATACACGTTAGAACAGGACCTAGCTAAGCGAGCAGGCCGCACTATTATTAAGGTAGCTCGAGCCTTAATAATACATACTAGGTTCCTATACAGCCTATAGCTAGAAGCAGTTTATATAGCAACCTTCCTAGCTAATAGGTTACTAAGATTACGTAATGCTAACCTACTAATACGTACACTATACGAGATTAGGACTAGATATAAGCCAAATATAGCCTACATCTATTAGTTTAGAGTAAGAGCATATCTAGTAATCTACGGCACCGAGATAGCTAATAGTAAGAGGAAGGCTATACTGCTAAATACTATAAAAGTAGCCTTACGAATACACATTAGATACCTCTATAGATACGAAGGACACTCTATCTATCGAATTTAGGTACCTTTACGAATAACGGTGCTACGTATAAGAGATGTTGTATTTAATAAGACTAGGTTCTATAATGGATATAACGCTAACCTAGGCGTTACTATAACTAACTAAGAACTAGCTCAATTTAGTAATCTCGAAGAGCTATAAGCACTAGCCTCGGAGCATTAATTTAACGATCTTCGAGAAGGATACGATATACTACTAGACCTAGTGCGGTTTAGAACTAAGGGGGTAGATATACTAACAGGACCTAGCCGGCTTATAATAGTCGACCCTATAAGGCTAGCAGATAAACCTATTAGACAAGAACTACCTTAATTATCGCCGATACTACTAACTAAGCCGCAGCTCGTACAGGTGCCGAAGAGGCTACGTTTAGATCTCACTAATTAGAGATTATATAAGCCTAAACTAGGGGAAGTACCTACCTATTAATAGGACTTTCTAATTAACCTACGCGAAGCACTATAACCGCGTAATAATATACTAAATAGATTAGTAGACCTAACTATTAATTAGCAACCTAAGACTAAGAACGATGCTAGCAATTATAGCCCTACTAACAATGTAGACGCACTAGGTTACGCAGACGATATAGACATAAACCTACTACGAGCGGAACTAGCTGAATTGCTAATGCCAATTAAAGCAGCTAATGTTTTACATCGTTACTTACTAAACATAGGAGGGCCGTATTATCGAGCTAACAATCCGAATAAACGATAGCGAATAGCCGCTATCTATCGAGCCGGCCGTTATTATATTAGCGATCGAGAACAAGCGAGAAACCTCCTACTATTTAGCAGCCTTTGTATAGCGGCTAAGCACGAAGCCCGATTAACGTATGCATTAGTATTAAGTAATTAAGCCGATAGCAATCTACCGCCGCTTCTACGAGACGAACACGATTCAAACCTTACACCGAAGGTGTTAGACCTGCCTATAGAGCTGCGTAACTAGCGCTAGGTGTTAAAGAGCCGGTTTAAAGAGCATTAGATACATGCTATAAGAGTAGAGTTTAATAAGGCCTTAAAGATAGGTACATTCAAATAGGTAGATATAGAGGAACTAATAGACAATATATACCTTCTGCCTCTTACCTAGGTATTCAAATATAAGAGCGATGCTAATAGACGGCTAGTTAAGTTTAAGGCTAGAGTATATATAAGAGGAGACCTATAGAAGAACACCTACTTAGACACCTATACCTTAACACTCGCTGTACGCGTGTTTCGAGCCCTTATAGCTATTACTACTAGGTTCGACCTTAAAGCTAAGCAAATAGATATAGTTAATACCTTCTTAAATGCTAGCCTGCTATATATACTGTACTTGAAGCTACTAGAAGGCTTTAAACGGAAGGGTATAGTACTATAGCTGCTTTAGGCTCTCTATAGCTTGCAAGAGTTACTAAGGTTGTAGTACAATTACTTTACTACTATATTAGAGAAGCTCGGTATATAGCTAGTCGATAATGTCGACTGCCTATATACAGACCCCGACAAGCATATATTTATCTTCTTCTATATAGACGACATAGTACTATTATATTACCGTTAATATAAATAGAAGGCTATAGACCTGAAGCAACGGCTAATAAAGGAATACGAACTAAATGACCTTAGTCTACTATTATAGTTTCTTAGTATTTAGGTTGTGTATAACCGTAATTACCGAAAGCTATAGCTATTATAGAAGGCCTATGTAGAAAAAATGGGTTAGCGGTATAGAATTAACGCTAGAACTAGAAGAAGGGCCGACTTACTATTACTAACTAGATACGAGCCCTATAAGAAAACAGACGGTAAGAAGGCCTTATAACACCTAGATTTAACAGCAGTACTAGCCTATTAAAGCCGTATAGGATCGCTTAACTTCGCAGCAGTACAGACTAGGCCTAATATAGCTAAGGCTATATTACTGCTGTCTAAAGCCCTTCAAAATCCACGACAAGAAGACATAGCTGCTACAAATTAGTATATTAAATACCTCCTGCAAACGAAGGACCTATGCTTAGAATACAATGCCGACGGACTAGCAATTATAGCGCATTCTAGCTATTAGTTGAATGAGTTCTACGGAGCTTCCGATGCCTTATATAGCGACTATAAAGGCACTAGACAGTTATTAGAAGGATGGTTATTTAGCCTGTTTAATAGCCTAGTCGACTAGAAAGCAGCAAGACAATCAACCGTTACTAAATCTACGACTAAGGCTAAGCTGCTAGCCGCATTACATGCTAGCTTAGAGCTAATCTAGTAGAAGCGATTCTTTAACAACATTAGTCTTACATTAGATACGGTGCCTGTACTGTATTGCGACAACACCTAGACTATTCGTATTATTAAGGCTAATGCTAGTAAACTAGACACTAAGCTTAGGTATATAGATATCTACTAGTATTAGCTCCGCTAAGAACATAAAGCAGGCCGAATACAGTGCGAATACCTAGCTATATAGGACATACTAGCTAATAGACTTACTAAACTCTATAGACTATAGAACTAATAGAGGTTTATATAGCAACTTAGGCTATTAAGGCTACTAGCTAATAAACTACACGAAGACAACTCTATATAATAGGTAGTAGTAGCCCCCCCTATTTACTATTAATTGTAACTAAGTCAATTAAGTACACCTTTATCGATTAGTACTAGCAAAAGTGTCTAATACGATAGCGACGACTAACTAGGGTAGCGGATCTAACCTCACTTCCTAATACGTTATTGTCGCCTATATTATTACTTCGAACGTTACTTCTACTAACTAATAACAAGTCTGCGGCGATTGTATTAGTGCTAGTAATAATAGTGTAGTAGTCTTAGCTAAGAGTAGCGTCCTTAGTTAAGTTACCTATCCTAATTTATTAAATCTGTTTAACTAATATACATCCTTACTTAATCCTTCGTCTAATTAAATAGACGCTACCTATACGATTGATCTGATAAACGATAGTAATAATATAAAGGGCTTAGTTCAATTTAGTTGAACTAACTTTACTATACGATACGAGTACTTAGATAAGGCTTAATAGTGTCGGTCTGTGCTTAGACTACGTAGGAAGACAATAGTTCCTAGTAATAGGGACTATATATAAAGGTGCATATGCAGTCCGGATTATGTAACGATATCCTTCTAGGGTAATCGGGGTATAAAATAAGACTCTCTTATATATAGTGTGGATTCAAACCAATTTTTTTATTGTTTTAATAAAGCACTATATAAGAAGTTGAAAAGATTAATTTTTCTTTTATTTGTATATAAAGAAGCATTAACTACCTTGCCTAAAATGGAAGGCAAGCCTAGTTTGTATAAGCTAAGGGGGCATATAACGTGTAGCTAAGGTTATATAACTCTTAGTAGCGTACGTAACTCTCGGCAAAACTAGGGAAATATTAATACCTGTTCTTACCGCCTTTTTAGATAGAACTAGTCAATTAGAACTACTATAATAGACACCCTTAAAAACAGTGTTACAATGTAACTAATAGGAAGGGTGCGTAACATAAATCAGCTCTTCCTATACTAAGACTACTACTAGACTATAATCTCCTTTACTAATACGTAGCCGATATATAAAAGTTGTAATATACAAACATGTTACTACAAATTCCACTACTCCGTCTTCTTCTCCTTTATATAACTAGCCTATTTTCCTTAAACTAATATCTGCAAAATGTACTATGTCTCTAACCTAACGTGCCTAAGAACACAATATACAAATCCTCTTCTAGCTTCTTGTCCGTATGCTAAAGTTCCTAGAAAGCTCTCCTCTAGATCTAACTATATCCTATGCACTTTCCGAGTAGCTTTCTCTACTCAATTCTTACTTCGGCTCGAATCTTAGACTATAGTAATGCAAAAGGCTATAGCGCTAAAGAGAAGGAGGTCGGCTGTCTTCCTAAGTAAAGAGTAGATCGATATGAAAATCTTTGTTAGCAAGTTTGCGGATAATATTTCTAGTCTAAGGCTCTCGCGCGTAGAGAAAAGGCCTACGAATGCCTCAACTTCTCTTTCGGCATTTTATAAAACCCCTTTAGCTCGCATCGGAGTTCCGGAATTTGCTAATACAAAGGACAATATAGTTCTACGTTAACACTAGATTTTAGGAGCTACTTATATTATTAACAAAAGGAAGTATAGCGTAGGTTGCGGACGCTTCTACTTATAGTTATTGATTATTAATTACTAATAATTACTAGTTACTGTAATCACATGTAACTACGATTATAATTATAGAGTAAGTAATTAGTGACTATAGTTAGTAATTAGTCGGTTATTCTAAGGCAATACTAGGGTATATATTACACCTATAGAAGGTTTTAAATTCGCACTGTTTCCTCCTATTTCTATAGATAATAACATACCTAAAATAGGGCACGTCTATCGAGAGGTATATAAGTCGAATATTAGTATACGAGGTCGCTAATTTAGACAGGTTACTAAGTCTGTGTCTTCTTAAGAGGAAGACCTCTTACTACCGCTAGTATAGACCTCCGACTAGTTAACTAAAGCCTTCTTAGTACTATAAAGCTATTACCTACAGCTGTTGCTAAAGGACGTACTAGCGACTTATCTAACTCTTAACTAAACCGACTCTTATATTACTCCTGCTTAGCTACACTTCTAATAAGCCGGTATACTGTCCTTTATTAAAGAAGTAGCATAGAAGGACTTCGAGTAGTATATCGGAGAGGCGGAAAAGGAGGGCTTATAGTTGCCGTATCGGAGGGTTATAAGGAAGACGATAAAGAGCCTTCGGTATACGTCGGAGATCGTTCGAAGGGCCGGGGAATACTAGGAGCGTATAGCTAATAGTATTTAACGAGTAAGTAAGGGCATCGACCGGAAAGGAAGGTATATAGCGCTAGGTTCTCGTCGCTACTTTAAGTTTAGTAGAAAACTATACCTCTGCTTAGAAGAGTGCTTTCTCGGGCTAAAATCGTAGTATCCGATACGGTAGACGCTGTTTAAGGATCGGATCGATAGGGTTCTATACTATCTAATCGATAGCGATAGTACTACCGGCGATAGTAAGGTTGTTGTTATTAATTAGGTATAATTAGTCGTAGACATTAGTATTCGAGCTTGCTATCGTACCTGCCTATCGCGTTATATTAGCACTTTAGGGTCTAGCTAAGCCTAATAGATAAGCTTCGCTTAGTACGGACGGCAAGGTCCGGACGGCTTAGCCGTACGCTAGCAAACTCAAATCTCGATATTTATTGTTTAGTTTAAGACAACAACACATTCGATATACGAGATAACCTACGTAAGAAGCATAGACTAACTTAGAAAGTACTAGAAAATTACGCAAATATCTAAGCATCGATATAGGAAAACGAGCCGCTAGATCGGATACTATTCTATAAAGATTCGAGCGATCTAAGCGATCTTCTATTCTCTAAAGCTAATAAAGCGCTATCTCTAACACTAGACGAGGACACCTTGTTCCTTTAATCTTCTAATTCTATTCGACTATCTACCTCGCAGTCCTCGAATATAGTATAGCCGATACCTACGCCTACAGTTACTAAGTTAAGGAAACGTAGAAGGGGTAGGAACTAGCTAGATCTAGCGTTATAGGCGCATGCGAGAGCATTAAAAGATAGAGAGCCTTTAAAGGTCGATAGAGGTAGGTATAAGGCATTCTACTATATATACTACGACGATAACGACTCTAATCGATACGCGTCTAATTCTAGTAACGCGCCTTAGTACCTAGCTAAGAAGCACTTTATATTCGTCGGCATTAAGAAACGGAAGCTTAAAGGTACTTATAAGAAGTAGACGAAGATTAACCTCTCGGCGCTATAGAAGAAGCAAGGCTCTATTAAGTCGGACAAGACGACGAATATACTTAAAGGCGCTACGGATAAGAACAAGTTTAGATACGCCCTCGCTCGCTTTGTAATAGCTAATAGTATCGCTTATACTGCGCTAGTTACGAAGGAATTCAAGGACCTTATACTAACGGTTAATCTATATATAGAGGAGGTTCTTCTTAAGAGCTATACTTTACTATTTCCTCGTATTCTATATAACTTCGAGAGCTAGCGAGAAGGGGTTAAACGAGCACTATTAGCAGCGCTTAGTTGTATTTACTTTTATACTAATATATAGAAGTCTTAGTATAGCTATAAGTTCTTCTAAGCCGTTAATTGCTAGTATATTAACCTATAGGGCCGCCTAGTCTAAATACTACTAGATTTGCTACAACTTCTACCTAGCTCTTATACTAGCGACTTCCTTACTAAGAGTGTCCTGCCTTGCTTCTCAACCTTCGAGATAGCTAGCAAACTTAGCTAGATAACGACTAATAGCGGCTCTAATAACAATACACTTAGTGCCGCTATTAAGCGCTTCCTAGACTCGTAAGGCTACTCCTAGAAGAACCGCCGCCTCCGCTATATTAGCTATATTCTTAACCGTGTAACTATAGCTTTTATGTTTGCTAAGGACGTAGAGGCTACTAAGAGTAAGGACTTTGACTAAGTGCTTAGCAACGATAGCGATAGCGTCTTAATCTCGAGGTAGCTCGATATAGATATTAAGTCCTTTATTAAACAAGGTCTATTGTAACGGTTATTCGCACTCGCTAAGCTTCTACGTAAGAACGACAATAATAACATCTTCTAAGAGGTCTGTAAGGCCTAGCCACAACTGCTATATATAGTGCTAAAGATCCCCGGTAAAATACGCTAGAATAGCTAGCTTCTAATAATAGAAGAGGCTATTCAAACTAGGCTAATCTTAAACACCTTCTTCGATAGAATGCCGCACCTACGCGAGTTTAGCTTAGCCGACGACGACTAGAAGGTCCTTGCCTATATACGGAAGTTTCTTAGTCTATTTAAAGAGGTTACTCTTCGGCTCTAAGGCTATACTATTACATTCGATATATATTAAGAGTCTATAGAATACCTAAGAAGCTATTTCCTTCGCTTAGCTAGTAAGAACACCTACCGCAAGGTCCTTATTAGGTCTATTAATGTAGCTAGAGTACTATTCGACAAGTACTACGACCTTAACTAGAAGAGCCCTCTATATGTTACTATAGTCTTGCTATATCTAAGCCGACGACTTGCCTAGCTTAGAGGCCGCTTAGCGGTAGACATAGATACTACCTTGTTGTAGTCTATAGCGCTTTAGAAGGACTATAAGACACGCTTCGGACGTAGCTATTAACTACTGTCTACGCTATAGCGCTTATTTAAAGGACTATCGGACCTTAAGCGCTAGCAAATTGAGTCTCAAACTAACCTAGTTGCTACTAATTAGGACCCCTTCGAAGCCTTTATTTATACTAGTCTAATAGCACTGCTACTAGTTAGCCTCGAGAAGCTAGTTATAATAAGTCCTATTAACTAGTAGATTTAATAGCGGAAGACCTACGATGTAGCGTTATAGCAACTAGCTATTAATACATTATTAGCCTTTACTATGTCCGCCGAGTTAGAGAGGACCTTTAGTATAAGCCGCCGTACTGCTCGATAGGACCGTATACGTATAAGTAGTAACTATATTCGTATAAACGAGTGCTCGAAGAACTAGATAAGAACAGGGGTTGCTAAGGTGCTATTAGAATTAGCCGTGCTAGAAGAGGTAGAAGAGGAAGGACTATTGCCGGACTTATACTTAGTCTTAGGCGCTATCGACAGTAACGACCGCCTATAGATCCACCTCGTTCTTAACCCTAAGCATTACTATAGGTACTGATTATATGATTACGTGATTATGATTACTAATTACTCACTTATTATTGACTATGATTATGATTACAGCCGCTAACTAGTGAGTACTCAGTAATCAACTTCTATGCTTCTACTGCAGTAAGTCCACGAATTTCCAAATTCCGTCTCCATATCCAATTTTAACAGCGCCATCTCGCTCAAAACGCCAAGGTAGAAAAATCAAATAACCAATACCTCTCCAACTTCATTCAAAGCTGCGCCTCCAACTCCTCAATCTGCGCCAACAAATCCCTCTTAAGTTCCAGATACCTCTCCTCCCCAACAAAATCCCCCGGCGCCAAATACAGCTCCAAAGACCCCGACCAAAGATCCCTCTTCTCAAACTCCCGCTTCGGAATCTGCAAGAGCCGATACTCAGGAATGGAAATAACCTCCTCACCTCCCACGATCTTCACCCATTCCCCACACCCATCACTCCTGACTCGATATTGCCATTCTTTCCTAGGGAGACCTTCCGGGTCGTATGGGGATGCGGAGTTCTTGGTGCGATGGTAGACGCTGGGATGGATCGTTTCGTGAAGGTTCGTGGGATCGACGGGTTTGCCGTTGGCTTGTTTCCATTCACCTGGGCTGCGGAGGAATTTGAAACGACGGGTTGCGATGAAGGAGGTGGCGTAGTAGGTGTAGCTGTTGGTTTCCATGAGATGGCCATCGGACCACTTGATGCGTCGTTCGCCGGCTTCTTCGACGCTCTGTGGCGCTGGCATGCCTGCGAGGTTCTCGGGACCTTCGTGGATGCGTTTGAGGATGGGGTAGTAGAGCTGGTGTTTGCTGAATTGGAGGAGGTTTTCTTCCGTCAGTTGGTCGATCATCCAGGCAAAGGTTAGGAGATCGACGCTGTTGGTCTCCCAGTCAGCATCGCTGTGGCCGCCAATGTCGCCATGGTAGCCTGGGAACCAGCACTGCTTCAATATGGTGCCAGCTTTCTCGGTAGCGTCGTATTGGTAGTAAAGGGTGGGTGGGAAGTTACCACGATTTTCATCAATAGCTATTGCGTGGAACGCTCGTTCGATCTTTGGGTGGAGGGAGGTCGAGTGCCAGTCTATATCTTGTCCTGGTTGCATTACGTGACCAGACATGCCGACAGATCCCACTGTGTCGAAGACGCCGACCGCTTTGACCTTGATATGTAGATGTGCCCATTTCTTGATGCAATCGTAGCGAGAGATGGATTCTTTGCTGTCAATCTCCAGGCCAAGCTCGCCTGGCTGTGCTTTGCCTTGCGACCAAGCCATTTCCTCAAATGTGTACTCTGTCGACTTTCGTGTCTTGTACGCCTCGAAGATTTCATCGAAATAGTCCATCATGCCTAATCAAATCGTCAGTAACTTGCATTAGAGACAGAATCTTCCCTTCATACCCGGCGTGAGCAAGCCGAATTGGCAAAGAAAGCTAGCCAAGACTCTGGCAGTGTAGGCTCCTCGCTAGATAGTGCGTCAGCGTCATTCAACCATTTCTCTCATCGATCATACCGAAAAGCCAAAGATAAAGATCTCGTCGCCTGGTCCATAGTTGTTTGCAAGGTAGTTGTAGGCTTCGCAAACCTTGCCATTGAGACCAGCCCCAAAACCACCTGAAAATGACCGTTCAGTACAAGCGGTGGGGTATTGCCTGGTTAGCAGGTCTCACCTTGTCTAGCCTTGGTCCAAGCTGATGCCGTCTGGTCGGTACCTATACCGGCCTGGTAGTATGTAATCTGTGGCACTTTGGAGCCATCGGCCGCAAAGCCCACGTTTGCTATCGCTCGACTCAGCCTGGCAATATTGGTTGGGTTGGTCTCCACGCCTTGGTTCGAGGAATTGAAAGTGCCATCACAGCACACAATGAGTCGCTTTGGAAGAGTACCGGAAGCGTCAATTCTTTTGCACAGCGAGCACGTCAGCACCGCATCGGTCGCAACAGAATCAACGACGAGTGCCTTGTGGTCAGTACGGTGTGTTGTACTTTGAGCCATGGTCGTCCAGCGTCTTGCAGGAAGGATGTTGAAGTTGACTCCAGCCTTGAGTGGTCGTCTGCATCTTTATGTCTGCTCGCCCACTGTTTCAGAGGCAAGGAGCTACTGCGGAGCTGTTGAAAGACACAAGCCCCGCGTACAACGAAGCTGGTGTGGTGTATGCGAAGATCGAGTATGGAGTCTGCACGGCGTTGCCGGTCAGGCCATCATATATCTTCATCCAATCCGCGAGAGACTTTTCGTGCATGTGGCTTAGTTGAACACAGCTGAGGCGTGGTGTGGTATGCACAATACATCGTCCAGTATAGAGCTTCGATCGATGAGGCATAGTCTAGTGGAAGTCCTGCAGCCTTCCGGCTCACGTGTTGCGCCACCAGCCAGCCATAAGCAGCCATGCCAATCCAGTATATGCAGATTCGCAAGCCTGAGTTGCAGACTACTGCTGAAGTCTCTTCTTGAGAAGGACAGCTGTAGTGGGACTGGGAAAGGTGAAGCGGATCCGTCGCGCATAGCCGAGCATTTGACACCGCGGATTGTAGCCACGTCCCGTACCGTGAAGCAGAACGCCTTCGCCTGTGCGTACTCGGTACGCGGCCTCTGATAGGCGGTCTAGTGCAGTCTCACTACTCATCGTCAACTGCTCGGCTTGCTTTGGGACAACCGCCAACAAAGTCAGCATGAACCAGTCCGTGCAAGTCCCAGCGCTCTGAGCCGAACTCGAAGAATCGGGATCCGTTTCGCGCCTTTCGCGACTTGACTGTGCCCGCATTAGCTTTCTATTGAAATAGGGAATACAGTCAGTATCACATGACATTAGACTTATTAGATACCACAAATTTTGGATGTAGTGTGATGCATACTTTCAGATTGCAAGCCAAACCCCTACAGCTTGGAATCACGAACGAACTGTAGGTCATCTCTACTCAGGTCCTTCAGAGACCGCTTGCCCATGTTGCCCAGCATGTTGTCCGTATCAGCCATGATGCATTTGAGGACATGTTCAACGCCCGCCTGGCCGCGGATTGCAAGACCGTACATATAAGGCCGAGCGACAAGGACGGCTTTGGCGCCGAGTGCGATGGCTTTCAGGACATCGGCGCCTGTCCTGATGCCGCTGTCAAAGAGGATCGTGATACCAGATCGCTTGACCTTGTCATCGGCACCAATTTCGGCGAGGGCATCTAGAGATGCGATGGCGCCATCGACCTGTCGCCCTCCGTGGTTACTGACAATGATGCCGTCCATACCATATTCAATCGCTTTGTGCGCGTCCTCTACACTCTGAATGCCTTTCAACACAATCGGCCCATCCCACAGCTTCTTGAGCGTCTCCAGATGCTCCCACTGCCGATAAGTGCCAGAATTCAGAATCTCGGTCCACGCCCTTGCTTTTCTTATGCGAGGAGCATTGGCCAGAATTTGCATTGCCGTGAGCGGATTTCCGGGTCGCTTCATGATACTCCATAGCTCGGCAAGTTTTTGTCCCGCAGACCTGGTGTCCTCTTGGAGCATTTCTTGATAGCGCTCCTGGAAGACTGGATCAGAAAGGCCGATTTGGCAGCCATCGCCCCATAGGAATGGCAAGTAGGAGTTGTCGAGATCTTCAGGTCGCCATGCAAGAGAAAATGTGTCCACTGTTAGTACCAGAACTTTGAATCCATTCGCTTTGGCTCGGTTGAGCAGGGATACGGTGATGGCTTCTTCCTGCGGCCTTGGCCAATACAATTGATACCAGCGATCACCATCTCCGTTTGCTGCTGCAACCTCCTCGATAGTTCTTGTAGCAGCTGTAGAGAGAACCATAGGGACTTGGACATTTTTGCAAGCTCTGGCAGTGGCTTCCTCGGCGTCCTGGTGCATGATGTTCTGCACGCCTACCGGAGCTGCCAGAATGGGACTTTTGTATTTCGTCCCGAAGAGCTCCACACTCAAATCTCTGCGGGTCGCGTTCACAAGCACCCGTGGACGTATCCTGTACTTGTCAAACGCATCCAGGTTCGCTTGGTAAGTCTTGAAGCCCGATGCCGAGCCATAGACGTAGCCGAAGTTCGCCTCGGGGACTTTCTCCTTGGCCAGCTGTTCCCATTCTGATGGCTTGGTGGAGAATATGGGTTTTGCAAAAGAGCCGTAGATGTCTCTTTGGTATGCCGATAATGCTTCTGGATCTGGAAGTTCGTATGGCTGGTTCCACTTCTTGGCCTCCTTGAGAGTCGTCATATTGAGTCCGCTGCTGCACTGATGAGGATGAGACTGGCAGTCAGTGCTCTTGACCTGATCGTGAGCTGAGGCAGTGTTTATTATGGTCGTGCGTGTTGATGAGTGAGTGAGTGGGCGCAACAACGCGATAGAACAACTGCCTTCCGGAGAGCCGAGGTCCAGGGGGGCTCATTTCACGTTCCCTCGATTGCGTTTGCCACGTATTCCACCATATCGTACTCGACTTGTTGCTGCTGAGGCATGTTCAAGATGTCAAGCTGTATTGGAAAGCGTCAACAGGACTGCTTCCTCCATACCTGCTGTGTTATTCATTAACAGTCGTCACATGCATCAAAAACTATCCATACTCCTTCGTATCGGCCTCATCGTGAACATTTCTCCTCCCTTTCTCGGCACACGGCATCGCTTCACGTGCTCAGCACCATCTCTCGCGTGCAATTCAGCCGGCGAGATACAGTAATAGACCGCCACCTTGTCATGCAGGAAAACGTGGATCATTGCTGTATCTTGCGTAGTTAGTCACATTACGCACTGGCATAGCTATTGAATACTAAATATTCAAGATTCACTGCTCGTATTCAGATTCACTAATGAATGTTAGTAAATATTTATATTCAATTTATATTCAAATACAATCTTAGCGATAGTAAGGGTAGTAGTAACGCTTAGGGTTAAGAAGGAGGGTGTTCTATAGCTATTTATATAACTCGTTATTATCTTCCGCTTCTATACTTAGTTATAGTATATCTACTAGTAAATCCGCTATGCTAGTACGTTGCTATTACTTAGAATACTCGCTTATTCGGATACTATTACTATTAAGAGAGGCTCGGTTCTATAAAACTATACGTCTACTACTACTAAAGGTACGCTCGGACTCTACGGATATAGCGAAAGCGGATAATAAGTCGATAGCTAGTTGCGAGAGCGTTAGATAGTGTTACGATCTTAGCGACTTGTATATACAATTCGAGGTTATGTAACTAAAGGTTATGTAACTTAATGCCTAAGGTATCCGCCGAGTAGATAAAAGCCTCTCCCGTAAGAGAGCCTCTCTCTCTTTCTTCTTTAACTCGTTATTAATTTAGATAGCTATTTAATTAATATCTTAATAGAATAACGAGTTCCTTTATTACCTACGATAACGTCGTAGGTGCTATCGCATACGCCTATATAAGGAATTACGCCGCCGGCGATCGCTATCGCCCTTCTATACTCCCTATTATACGATAGTGCTAATAGACCTATATACTAATCTATATTAGATATAGTAAGCTACCCGACTATAGTAATACCGCCGATTCGCTATAGATTCTTTAAGACCGCCTACCGATCGCGGTAGCGGCTCGGAATATACGAATACGCCTAACTATATAGGAATAGCTAGGGCCCCGTTAAATAGTGCACTAGAACTACTATAACTACCGTAAGGTCTACGACCTAGTCTCGCCGATATCGATAGCGTACTACGATAGCCGCTACCTAGTAGCCTCTAAGACTTCTATTAGTTCTTTAATAGGGTAAACGAGTAGGAGGCCGCTAAATATATCTTCTAGCGTATAACCGAGCTATATTAGTTAGTAGCTACACTTCGTTAGTAATACTAGTAAGAGGCAAAGACATTAGAATAGGTATAATAAGCTTATTATAAGACTAATACTTATCTTAATAGCGAGCTAGTATAGGCTCGGACTAAAGTAGAATACTAACGTCGAGCTGCCGATTTAGTACGTAACTCCTTAGTTATTACGCAATAGTAGCGTAATAACCTAGCTTAGTAGGTCGCTCGCCTATAATAATAATAGTCTTCTATAGAAGATATCGCCCGACGAGCTAGTAAATAAGCCGCTTGCGCTCGTCGCGACGCCGAAGCGTCTTTATTATATAATCTAATCGGTCGAGGACCTATATTAGATAATAGCCGATCTCTATTCCGTCGACCTCTCGACCCCTTTACCTTTCGCGACTAATCTAAGCCTCTCCGACGTTCTCGATTTAACTATAGTATCGACGATAATAATAACTATACTAGATATAGTAAGAGCGAGAAGTATCTAGATCCCGAGAAATACGATAGAGACCGTAAAAAGCTAAAACCCTTCCTTACTAAGCTTACGATTAAGTTAATAATTAACAATAATCGCTTTCTAACGCTATAGGACCGACTAATATATACGTATAGTCGTACTACTAGCAAGGCCTATTCTATAGTCTAACTATACGTCCGTTACGACGAATATAGCGTAATTATAGACTTTAACGACCTTAACGACTTCCGTAACCTATTAGTTAACGCCTTCGGTAATCCTAACGAGGTCGCTACTACTAGCTATAAGATAGATAACTTAAAGTAGAAGAATAAGGAATTTGCTTACTATCTCGTAGAGTTTAATCGACTTAACGCCTTACTTAGTTATAAAGGCCGAGCTTAAGTTAACGCCCTTAAGCGTAGCTTGTCTTCTAAATTAAAGGTAGCGCTTAGCAATATATATAATAAGCCTACTAACTTTTCGTTACTCTATCGCCGACTAACTATTATTAATAACTAGCTCCGTTAGTACCGTATAGAAAGCAATCGTAATAATACTAAGCTAGGATCTAGTAGTACCGCTAACTAAGGCCCTAATACTAGCCGTAGCTATAGTAATAACGCTAGCGGCTCTAGTAATAGATACCCTTTATAAGGATATACCGTTCTATATAACAACTAAGGATAGTTTACCTCGGCGAATAGTAACGGTACTACTACTACTACGACTACGACTGTCCGTAACCTAGACGCTATAGACCTCTCCGCTACTTAGGGTTAGGGTTAGGGTTAGGGTTAGGGTAATCGTCGCCGTATAACGCTCGAAGAGAGAGATCGTCGCCGCCGCGAAAGACTATATCGCTTCTATAGTAGTAATTATATCTACTCCGATACTATCTATCTAGAGCTTATCCGCCGCGCTTAAGGCCGTAGTAATCGCCTAAATACTAATATCTCCGTATTTAGTACCGCCGCCGCCGCTCTAGTCGATCTACTTTCTACTAATAATAAAGACGCTTATAGTAGCGATAAGGAGGGAAAAGTATAGCTCTTAGATAAAGTCGCGTTTAAGAGCCTATACCGATAGAGTTACCTATACCGTTATTACCGAAGAACCTAGGCTACTATTATAGAAGGAAATATCGATAGTAGAAAGATTTATAGATTAGTTTATTAGTATTATTAGGAAGTATTATACCCGAGGGCGATAATTAATATCTCGTCTTATATTATACTTTAACGGCTTATAATAAACCTTAGTCTAGTATATTAGACGTAGGGTAGAATACCGAATATTAATTATTAGTAATAGTCGATTGCGGTTATACTAGTTTATCTTTTATTAACTTATATTACGCGTACTAATACTAGCTTCCTATCTATAGCCTAAAGGAGCTATATAGATTAACTGCTTTCGACGGTAGTTTCGTAGTAGACGTTACTTAGTATACTAGAGCGACTATTAATATTAATAGCTATATCGAATATAGGGCCTTCTACTATTAGCTAGTAACCGGCCCTACACCTATAGGCTAGTTTTAAGCCTATATAAGAGGCCTCCTTCTATAGAGTAGATAGATTATTAACCTCGTATAGCACATTGTTTATATTACACTTCTATAATGCCTATATTATAGGGCTCTAGTTATTAGCCTAAGCGATAGTCTCGTTATCCTATCTTGCTAAATATAGCTACCTATATTGCTATAGGTTATATTACCCTCGGTAGCCTATACTATTGCTATAAGTAGTAGTAGTAGTATTAGTTTCCGTCGTTTATTAGAGCCGAAGGTAGGGCTATCTCTTTATATCTAACAGGTTTAGGTATATTAAAGGTAGTCTCTAGGTACGAATAGCTATAACCGAAGCGAGGGTACGATAAGAGCCTACGATACGGACGATACCGAAGTATCTTAAGGGGCCGTTACGACAAGTAGAGAAACCTCTTAACGAGAGCATCGCTTTAACCTCGAAAAGCTACAAACCCTTAGGACTGTTATAGCTTAGGGCCTAGTCTATAACTATAGCTAGCTTCTAAGGACTCGGCTCCGGGTCGAAGACCTATTTAGCACCGCTTACTCGAGATAAGCTACCGCCCGCCTAAGGAGAAGATAGATTAATTACCTATCGGCCTTACTTAGTTTGCTAAGACTATCTATACGATAGCAATTTCTAGATTATAGGTCGGATGCCTAGACAGTTCCCCTATTAACCGGGTAGATTGTTTCGGGATTCGCTGCCTCGTTCGGATAGTGCTTAGCCTTCTACTAGAAAAAGAAGGTCCCCGCCCCCCGCCTAGCTAAAGGAGATAACGATAGTTAGTAAAGTAGCTAGTTTCTAGGATCTAGGTATAAATAGAGATTGCAGTTCCTTCCTCCGAGCGGCTTTTTGTCTAAATTTACTAAATTAAAGCTCCTAGGGGTATCTAGGCGACCCCTAGGAGGCTAAACTCTAATACTACCCTAGGGGTAACATTAGAAGAAAATAGCCTAGTACACTATTTTCTCGTATAGCAATATCGAAACAAACCTATAATATATACTAAAAACACTTTCCTATAGCATTTTATTTTAACTACTTTATAACAATCGAATAAGCTCTAGCGAAAGCGAGTATTACAAATTAGCGGAATCTTCGGAATCTAATAATCTACCGGACCCTATTAACGAAGAAATTAGGCGACGACTAGTTGTTATAAGCGCCGTCGACCTAGGGGCTATCGAGCCTTCTACGCCCGAGGCTCTCTATAATATCGTTATAAAGATAATTTAAGGGCAAACTAACCTTCTTCGTTAGAATAGGCGTCGCCCGCTAGAGCTAGGAAGTAGTAGGAACCCTTTATTCGAAGGGTAGAACGCTACGGCGCACGTAGAACGCTTTAAGGATAATTTAACCGAGTACGGACTCGAAGAAGAGTCGGACTAGTACAAGGTCTAGTCCCTTACGAGGACTACTATTACTAAGCTTTACC